TAGGGTTTTTATGTTTTTTGTAGTATCATAATTACATTATTTGAAGGAGATGAAATTTGTGGCAATTAATTGGCCAGCGAGGAACAGTCTCTACATATAATGTAAACTTATACAACACCCTACTTTTAAGGAAACAAACTTAAAAGTTAAAACTATATGATTCCGCAAATACGATATGATATATTAATTTATTTTTATATAAAAAAAATAAATGTAAATTAATATGAATTATTACATTTATCTCGTTCAAATTACATGCCTTGGGAATTTGTTTTCAAGGCTTCAATTTTTATAGCGCTTAAGCCTAAAGTAAATGGTCATGAAAAAATTATGAAAATAGCTTTGGATTCGATTCGAACTTGGATTACGTAGCAAACAATAATTCTATAAACCAACCATGTACTAGGTATAACACGTGTTTTGAATGAAATATATATTTTTATGTATGACACCATGTGTGCGGATGTCAAATGAATTTCATTACACCGTTAAAATACTGTATGATACCGTTAAATATAATATGATCTTTTATTAGTTCAAATTATTGTAGTAAGGGTTTAGGGTTTAGGGTGTTAAATATAATAGGATGATAAAGGTATTTAAATTTGCTGTAGTTAGTTTATAATTGTATTGAACTTTGTTATGGTTATATAACTTAATAATATGTATTAACAAAAATCTACATAGAATTCTTGTTTTTTTTAGATGTACAACTTTCCAAATGGAAAAGTTTCTAAGTGTATCACTTTCGTTTATAAATTCTATAATGATTTCTTCTACATATTATCGAATTTGACTACATGATCGATAATATTTTTCTATTTCCATGTCTTAAAAAAATTGTGTCTAAGGGTCTGTTTATATTTAATGGACTAAACTTGACTGAAGTGATGTGATTGGAGCTGAACTAAACTAATAGGAGATGAGCTGAACTGAATAGAGCTGAAATGAATATTTTATGAGATAAAGAAATTATATAGGAGTAGAACTAAACTTGACTGAACTAATTTGAGCTGAACTAAACAGAATTGAATAGTACTGAACTGATTGGAGCTACACTGCGCTAAACTGAACTGAGTTAATTTTAAACCTATTATAATATGAAATAGTAACGGTTATTTATTGGTAGGGAGGTCAAATTGTAATTATTTTTACGTTATATGTGTTTGTAGTAAATTTTGAAATAGAACTTTAATTTAAAAAACAAAAAAAATTACTATAGTTAGTGTATCTTGCCATTTACATTTAATTTCAGTTCAGTTCAGTTCAACTCCAATCAGTTTAGTTCAGTTTCTAATTTTCTTCTCTCATAAACAATTCATTTCAGCTCTGTTCAATTCAGTTCAGTTGTTTTCAGTAAATCGAAACATACCCTTAGTTAGTGTAACTTGCTATATATGTTTGATTAACTCTAACCTAAAGTATTGTTTGTAATCATTAATGTATTTAAAGTATCAAACATTCACTAAAATGATTGGTTTATATAAATTAGATAACTGAGTTAAGTTTAAGTGGGGCGGGGTACATCGTACATGTGATATGTATGAATTCATTATAGAATTTACAACGTTTTTTAGGAGGGGAAAATAGAAATATGGGTAAGTTACAATTTTTTTTTTTTTTTAAAAAAAGAAGAAAACATAGTTCACCTTACTATGATTGAGAGATAAAAGTACAACTTACGATTATCAGTTTCAATTAATTTTTTTATCTCTCACCTTAGGTTGTTTTGATTTTGAAATTATTTTTCCTGGACGGAAATGGTTTGTCCAATTACAATTCCGGCAACAAATTCAACCAAATTCCAACAATAAAGTCAAAGAAACATGAACAAATTCAACGAAATTTATACAAGTTCAACAATATTATAATTTAACAAGTTCATATTTTTATAAAAAATATTAACATCAAATTAATCGTATTAATTATAAACAACGGCAATGGGTCACCACACGCCGACACGACGGTAGAAAAACACCGGCAACATCAAAGATGGGACAACACCGCAACGGAAAACCTTGGTCTTCATATAAGAAATACAGAAATCTTGTTCAACAAATAAGAATTAGGAAATCTGTTCACAAATAAGATAAACGTAGTACAAAAATCTTGGCCTTCAATTATATTTGCTCTCTATCAATGATGGAGAGAGAAAAAATATTAGAGCCCTTTTTTTTTGGATTATATACTAATTAAAATGGGTATTTTAAGGGTTGGGGTTTTATTTGAAATTCAAATTTCAATTTTTTCAGAAAATGAGTTTGAAATTTAAATGAAAAGTTGTATGGTCCATAAAATAAAAAGATTCCTTATCAACCAATAGGAGACTTGTGTATAATATTCTTTGGTACACCAAGTGTACCCCTATTTCTTCCCACTTGTTTGGTTGAATGGAGGAAGTAGGAATTCCCATGAAAACTCAATGCCCATGAAATTATAATTCCTAGGAATTGTCAAAATTTGTTTGGTTGAATGTGGGAATTTCTACTTCCCATGGGAAGTTTAACTTACCTAGGGGAGACTAGGTAAGTTAATTCCTCCATTTTGTGGTAAGTAGAAGTTCCTAGGAAATCCCACTTCCTACATAATTGTCAACCAAACAAGTATATAGAAATCTATTTTCTAGGAAAATAAACTTCCCATGAATTTATTAAGCAATCAAACAAGTCCTATGTCTCTTCTATCTTGAATCTTCTCTACCATATACTCCCTCCGTCCCTAAATTACATTCCTCTTTCTAGCATTTATTCCTCACATAATAGAGAGAAAGAGGAATGTAATTTAGGGACGAAGGGAGTACCTTGTATTAGCTTCAATGTATTATCATCTAGCTCTCATTTCCTAGCTATAACAATGATCCAGTGTTAACTTCAATCCTTTTTTTGGTAGGTATGAAGAAAGGTCCTAGTGGGCTGCATCTTGTGTCTAGTTAACCCAACCCGAGTTAGCAGGCTAGACGTAGGGGGGAGGAAGGGGATGAAGAACCCTAGAAACCCAATGTGGCTTTCCCCTAGACCAAACATTGATACTTTTCTTTGTCAAAAAAAAAAAAACATTGATACTTTGTTGTTGTTATAGGTCACTGTATTAATAGATCATACTTTTATGAAATATATACGTACTCTTACAAGCCATTGATCCCAAGTAAAAATCATTAATGACAGTTTCTTTGTACGGAGTATTGTATTATTTTGAGTATTAAATTAGGAAAAAATAGAAAAAATAATCCCAACTTTCATCAATTTTGGTAGAATAATCCCAGCTTCAGATTATTCTGAAATAATCTGAACTTTGGGGGGTATTCTTTTTCTTCAATCCCAAATACCGGTTACCGGTTGAATGTTTTTTTTAAAAATGACACGTGTCACGCGTTTATTGGTTAAAAAATTATAACAAAAAAAAAATAAACAAAAAAAAAAAGAAAAAAAAAACCACCACCCAAACCAATCTGACCACCCTCAACCTTATCTCCGGCGGCCGCTGTTACTCTTCCCTCCCCCTGTGCTGGTTACCCCCTTCCCCCAACACCGGTGATGCGACCCACCTTGCTCCCTCCTTTTCCGCCGGTAGCCGCTCACCACTAGTCGAAATTCCTTTTTAAGCCACCACCACCACGACACCACTCGAAACTCCCTTCGAAACTATCCCCAACTCCCAAAACCCCCAAATACCCTTCCCCCACCATCGAAAACCCAAGCCGCTAGGGTTTTGGACGGTGAGAAAGTGGGTTTTGGGGGTTTTCGTGAGTGAGGGAGGAGTTTCGAATGGAAAATGAGGGACTTATGGGTGGAAGTGGGTCGTTGCACTGGCACAGGGGGTTTAGGGAGAAAGCGGCGCACCGTTGGGGCAGGGGAAGGGAGGAGTAGGCGCAACCGGCGATGCAGGTGGTGGTGGGGGTTACGGTGGTCAGGTAGGAGAATAAGGGGTTTCTGTTTTTTTTTTTAAAATTAATTTTTTTATTATTTTTTTTACCAATTACAGCTTGACACGTGGCACATAACATGTTAGGCTGTTACAACAGGTCATTGACTTTTGTTGACCGGTTTAGGATTGAAGAAAAAGAATACCCCCTAAAGTTCGGATTATTCCAGAATAATCTAAAGTTGGGATTATTCTACCAAAATTGATGAAAGTTGGGATTATTTTTTCTAATTTTTCCTATAAATTATCCTTTTTATTCAAGGAATTTCAAGAAAAATGATGTAGAAAGAATATTCAATGAATTATGAATAGGTTCACACTTCACATAAAAAAATATACTCTGTAGTTTGTATCAAAAGTTAAAAAAGTACTCTGTAATAGTATCGAGAAAAGGTTGGAAGACAAATAGCTACTCCATAATTACTTTGTTTAGCTATCAATGTATCATTGTAAAAATAACTGACCGATTTTTATCCATTGCCAAACACTCTTAAGGGGCGTTTGGTTCAAATAATGGTATGAGTTTGGAATGAGGAATGAAACTTGGGTAATATGGGGTTGGAACTTGATACTTGATTTCACATGTTTGGTTTTTATCTAGGAATGACAATTTTCCTAATAATTTTAAAACTAAAAGTACGGGTATGAGCCATATCCACCTTTTCCCTTGGGTTTCAAAAACCCATACATTGAGGGTTTGAGATATGTGTTTGAAAAATGAAAATTTTAAAAACAAACACAAGGTATGAGTTTTGGTCATTACAAACCCATACCTTATTTCTAATATACTTGAACCAAACACCCCCCTACTTTGTCAATAAAACAAGTCAAAATGCTACCCGCTACTAATATCACCGGTTCGCCACCATCAAGTGTGTCAAACAAAACCTATGCCATGGAGAGAGAGTTGTAAAACCTCACAATTAAAAAGGCCATAAAGTCCATTGACTCACAATCCAGTTCATAGTACAATAACCCAATTGAAGCCCTAAAAAGCCCATAATTAGTTTGTTGATTAAAAAAAAAAAAAAGGCAAAATAATGCAATTGGTAACCGAAAGAGAAAGGTACAGCACACCGGCTGTGCACACCAACACCACATCTAACGCTACTAAAACATTAGACAAGGAAGGAGGAGTAAACACTAAGGGTTAAATCGTACTTTCACAATCCTTAAATCTAAAGCATTCCTCCGGTCATCTCTTTTTCTTTCGACCCACAAAAGAAAAAAAAAAAATTAAAAAATTTCATAATTCCCTGAAGAGGAGAAATCTCGTTCGAATCTCTATCTTTCTCTCTCCTCTTCTTCTCTGCAAATTTCATTTCCAATCTTCGCTGTTTTCCAAATTCTTGTTTGTCTTTAATGGCTTCCGAAAATTTCACCGACAAAACTGCCATTTTTAGAAAGCTCAAGCTTAAATCCGAGAATAAGGTATTTCTATTTCTATTTTCTTACCGTTATTTTCAACTTTTTAATTTTGTTGTTGCTGAATTGGGTATTTAGGGTTAGGATCTGGTTCAGATCGGGCTTCAATTTACTGGAATTTCGATTTGTTTTGGTTTGGTTTGATTTGATTTGGAATTGATTAGGTTGTTGTGTTAATGTGTGACAGACATGTTTCGATTGTAATGCCAAGAACCCTACTTGGGCGTCGGTCACTTATGGGATCTTCCTTTGTATTGATTGTTCCGCAGCTCATCGTAGCCTTGGTGTTCACATCAGTTTTGTTAGGTATGATTTGGTTAATTGGATCGTCATTGTTGATTAATTAGGGATTTTATTTTATTTGTGATCAGTTGATTTGCTGGTGGATTGAACTTTACTGTTTTATAAAATTGTTTTAACCAACTGTTTAGGTTGTAAAGTGCAGAAATTTGGACTGTATGTGTTGAGACTACAATTTATTTTAGCTGCAAATTGTAGATCATACATAAGAATGTACCAAGTATAATCTTAGTTTGAGCATGATTAGTTGATAGGCATAAGTTTTTACGAATTCATAAGCCGTTCGTCCTTTTATGTTGTTACTGAAGAATGATAATGAGAGTGTTGGACAATGTATTATTGATTAGAGGGATCAGTAGAATGCAACATTGATTGCTATGAAGTAAATTTTTTTCGATTTTGCTGGCACTCCATGATCAGTTTTTGGGATGATTTGTAGACTCGAAGAATGTCGGGAAGGTTTTAAGTAGTATACCTTTGTTGAAATGGAAGGGTTCTCTAGTTTAAGTAATTGGGGGCTAGTAATTGTTAGATCAAAACTACTTAGTTATTCATCTGTTTTGAGAAAGGCTGCTGATTTGCTGAACCTATCTTGGTGAGAGGATTGGATATATTGAAACTAAACGTGCTTAAATATTGTATTGCTACTTGACTTTGCGGTGCTGCAATATCGAAAAGTTTTCTCCTGAGAGGCATGCTATTTAGGACATTTTTCTTTTCACCTCACTAAATCTATGTGACGGGGTTAGTAAGCTCATATAAGGAAGAGTAGGTTCAATTTCACAACTTAAGGTTATATCCAAGTAGCTCAAGGATGTAGCTTCAATCCAATCTTATATTTCATTGTTGGGCAAGAGCATGATATGGATGTACCAAGCAAGGAATTTAACTACGTTTCTTGAATAGAGTAGTATTTGAGGGTTTTATTTTATTTATTATATTTTATTTTTAAAAAAAAGTTTCAAGCCACTATTGGTACAGTTGTAGGTTTATACTAGAGTCTGAATTTAGAGTTGTTTGGTGGTGAAAGCCACAAAGGTTAATGCAAGTAATTTACACTCTCTTGGAAGAACCTAATATGGCGACTATGTTACTGTGTGAGTGTCATATGTGGAGTTTGTTTATTGTCAACTGAGTTGATGAGTTATCTTGGGGTTCCAAGAGCCCAAATTTGGGGAGGATAAAAGATCAATTATAATAGTGGTCTAAGTCCAGAACATTCTTGATAGTATAACCTTCCTCACCTAGAAAGTTTATTGGTTCATTATTTTAAGTTTTCTCTTGATTCTATGCAGACTAGAGATGTTTGGTCGATGTAAAAGTTCCACGAACTTATATCTTTTGGTGCATACCAAGAGAAATTAGGGATCTTGATATATGATGAATGCATAGTCGCAAGTATTTTCTTGTTTGGAATTTTGTATGTGATTGAGAATTTCTTAGGAGTCTCTGGACATTAGAGGATGTCGTTACTTGTTTCCATCCTTTTCTTGGGTTAGTTTCATTTGAAAGACTGTTGATTAGTAAGGACCACAATGAGGACGAATTTCTGGTCTTGATTGATCAAATTGAACTCGACAGCGTAACTGTTGGCAATGTTGGATGAAGGTATCCTAGAATGATATAATCATCATTACAAACACTCCAATTCTAAATAGGAAATAAGAGCAGTTGATGCAACAATCTGTATTTTTTTTTGCTTGCTAAAAAGTGTTAAAGACTAATTTGTTGATTTGTTTATTGAAACTTTTTCCTGGATTATCTAGTGGGGTTGTTTATATTTGTAGCTTGCCATATTATCATGCTACATAGCTTCTCTTTTTAAGATCCTAATTGCTCAAATGTGAGAAAATTTCTTTCTTAAAGGTCAACAAACTTGGATTCGTGGTCCCCTGATCAATTGAAGATGATGTACTTTGGGGGAAACAACCGTGCTCATACATTCTTTAAGCAGCATGGATGGACTGATGGAGGCAAGATTGAGGCTAAATATACATCAAGGGCTGCTGATTTATACAAGCAGATACTGGCAAAAGAAGTTGCTAAAAGCGCTGCTGAAGATCCCGGTTTACCTTCTTCACCAGTGGCTTCACAGTCTGCACAGGCATCTAATGGTTTCTCTGATGCCCTCAGTTTTGAAGCCCCAAAGGAAATTATAACAGAAAAGAAGGATACAGCTAAGAAGGAAACAGCTGAGCTACCTTCTTCTCCTAGAACTTATTCTGTAACTGTCAAGAAACCTATTGGACTTGGAGCAAAGAAAGTTGGAAAGAGTGGAGGACTTGGTGCCAGAAAGCTTACGAAAAAGGTCAATAATTCAGTCCTTGATGATTCCTGTTCAGACATATTTTATGTTTCATGGCCCTTGTGGGCAGTATAAGAGTAATGAAACGTATAGTCAACAGTTGAAACCTTTTTTTTTTTTTACGAAATGATAAAAGGCTTTAGTGGCTATTGTTTATGCATAATGTTTGACCTTATGGCTTCTCATTGACTCAAAAATGACACCTTTTCTGCAGCCTAATGAGGACCTCTATGAGCAAAAGCCAGAGGAGGCCCCTGCTCCTGTTGCCACCCCTAGTAATAATCCTGTTCCAGTTGGATCATCTTTTCCTTCTCGTTTCGAGTATGTTGAAAACAATAATGTTACGGGAGTGGGTAAAAGTTCAGAAGTTTCTCAGATGACTGGCCATGTTGCACCACCCAAGTCATCAAGCTTCTTTGCAGACTTTGGTATGGACAGTGGTTTCCAGAGAAAAGGAAGCTCAAATTCTTCAAAAGTACAGGTAAAACATAGTTAATGGTAGCTAGGGATTAGGTGTTTTTGTTATTTATTTTTTATTTTTTTTAAATATTTATTTTTGTGCGGATTCGGGATTCATGTTTCTGACTGTTTGACACTTTGATTTCTCAACGTTTTTGTTGTTTATTGGGTTTTATTTGTTTATAATTTTAATTAATATTAGATTAGTAAAATGATTATATTATCTTATTGTTGCTCCTATGCTCACAGCAACGACATGTACTAACTACTAAATGTGTAGTATGTGATGGGAGGGGTGGGGTTCTCGCTTCCAATGTTTGTTTTATTTTTTGTAGTATGTTTGTATATACACTATGCCAAACACACGCATCATAAGTACTCTCAGCCTATTACATGCGCAGCTTACAGTAGAAAACTGATTGATACTTTAGCAAGGGAGAGTTGGAGACTACTTAACCAAACGGTTCTATGAAAATGGATTGCAAGGATCACTTTCCCCAAAAAAAAAAAAAAAAAAAAAAAAAATTCATTGCTACATTTCTCTTTTTCCCCAAGGGAAAATTGAACTTGCAATTCCTTCCACTTAATATTTCCCCAGCTCTATTTCTTATTCCCTGATGCTACATGACTACTGTCCTTGCTTCCTTTCACCTGGCCCATGCCTGCCATACCCCTTATATTACAGCTTGCTCTTGGTACTTTCACCTCATTATAAGGTCTAAAGTTCCTTGCTCTAATTTCTTCTTTCCTTGCTGCGTAATTGAAGCTAATTAAAGGAGATTCTGAAGCTATTGCTGCATAATGCCACCATCCATAGTAAATATGTGCTCTTTAAATATCCCATGTAAGAAAAAAATTGTGTAGAAGTGTGTAGTTTGTGTTGTATATTGCCTTTGGGGAATACTTGTGCAGTAATTGCTCATTGATGTTATTGTCAAATGTGAGGAGACTACATGTTAGGAAGAATTGAAAATGGCAATTTTACTTTTTACAGAAGTTGATTTTTGCACTATGTATTAAAAATAATCTATTTGTGGATAACATTGTACCTTAATGACCATTATCCCAATGCTGACAATGAGGATCCTGCCTAGGGTGGGGTTGGTTTTATATGTATACAATTACGAGGAGGTCAGCTTTGTTCCTACAGTTACACAGTAAAGGTTTAAATTAGACCCAGAAAGTTTCCAAATATATTACGTGAATGAAGAATTGGAGGAAACTTGAGCTAGACATGTCTACTGATTCATTATTATGGCTGATGGAGTTGTTTTCATGATGCAAACTTGTGGGTCTAGTTTGTGTGCAGAATGTGTAGATTATTTGGTGTTGTCCATTTTCTATCACATGATGCTATAGCTGATTCTTAATTTAATGTGCCAGCAGCTTGCTGATATTTTGTATAATTAACAGATTGAAGAAACTGACGAGGCTAGGAAGAAGTTTTCAAATGCTAAATCGATTTCCTCTTCTCAATATTTTGGAGATCAGAGCAGAGCTGGTGATATTGAAGCTCGAGCTTCATTGCAAAAGTATTCTGTGAGTGCATGTCAATAAGTTTTGTTTTGGATATTCCTTGCTTAATAGCAGTTTAGCAATTGATAATGTGGCTTTTCCCATCATCAATTATGTGCTATGTGCATACTCTTTTTGAGTTCCTTACTTTTATTTCACCTCATTTTATTGCTCTACTTGATTCATGTGGTAGTGCTGTCCATTGACTCTATTCCACCCTGATTATTACTGATTTCATTTCACCATGATGGAGCCTTCTGCAATTCTTTTGTCAACCCCCTTTATTCAATTGGTGTAACCCCTACATTCTTCCTAATCATCTCAACCGATCCTTTCTTGTATAGCCATACATCTAATGTAACTTACTCATCATCGCCTGTTTTACGTACCATATAATATATGTGTCTGATTGCTGTGCAGTTGAATTTTTCCCTCAAGACCATTTAAACCCCGTAACTCTTCCACTTCAACCAACCTGCCTTGATCCTGGGAAATTTTTGCAAAATCCTCTCATCATAGGCAATCACCTCCTTGCTTCTACTCTGCTAATCTTGCACTACAAACATTTTGTCTTTATTATGTGTCGTCTCTTGATTCCCTTCACCTTATGAAATAATTTTTAGTGCTATTTGGTCCAATCAGGTGTTAACATGCGATGGATTTATGGCTGTCAAGTTGAGTTTTTGAAGAAAACACTTATAGAGAGTTAGAGCGAATTCTTATTTTTGTTTAGCCTAAAGCCTCATCATCATCAGAACCTTGATGTACTCCTATCATTATTGGGACTTTTCTGTCTTCCAAGTTTGGTCCGCACACTCAAGCTAGCTACCTCATACAATTTTGTGAATGCCTTAACTTGTTAAAGCTCACCCAAGTACATCCCTCATTACCTTAGCCTTCTCCAAATCAATGAAAGTCTTATTCAAATCCTTTTTCTTATCTGGGTAGTTCTATATTAACTGTCTCATAAAATGAATTGACTTCATAGTTTTTCTTTCTGGCATAAAGACAAATTGGTTTCTGTTCTTGGAAGTGTTCTGAGTGTCTAGGTTTCTGAGTTGTAATATTCAAACTTGATGTTTGTTGTGTTCTCTTGTCATTATTATTTCTTGCTCTTCTTGGAATATTAGTTCATGTCATCTTAGTAGTATTTTTCGTGGTCTGTAATTATTAATATTCACATTCTCCCAACCCATCAAAATTAAGGATATCCAATCAGTTTGCTTTGGCGTTGTACGATGTTTATACTATTCCCATACCTCATTACTTAACTATAGCAAGGTTATCTTGGTGAACTATTTAAGCAATGTGAAAAACTTACCTGTTGTAGGGAGTATGTTTTATGTGTGTTGCTTTCATAGTTCATGTGGTATTGGACTGGTTCTTTGTAAATGCTATAGCATCCTGTACTGTTACATTATCTGTGTGACTACCTCTTTTAAACAAAACTATCTTTTGCAGGGATCAAGTTCTATCTCTAGCGCAGATCTATTTGGACATGATTCTGATGCCAATCTTGATATATCTGCAAGTGACCTCATCAACCGCTTATCGTTTCAGGTATGTGTAACTTTAATGTTTGACATAGTACTTCAATATCAAATTGTGTGTGTTTTCAATTTATTTTATTTAGTAGATCTTCAAGCTTATAATTTTTTATGGGTTTAAATTTTTTACTGGTATTGCTGAAGAGTTTTATTGATGACCAATGTGACAAAAAATTCTTTTAGTTGAAACATAAATTTTGCGAAATTTCTTTTTTCATTCTCCCCAAAGTACATGAACTAAATTTTCCAAATCATGGGAGTTTCTGTGTTGGATAGTTTGTCCAAATTGCATTTATGCATGTTGCTGTTTATGTTTATTGACAGGCACAACAAGATATATCTTCCTTGAAGAATATTGCAGGAGAAACAGGGAAAAAGCTCGGTTCTCTGGCGTCGTCATTGATGACTGATCTTCAGGATAGAATCCTTTAATGTAATGTCTGTAATCATCTCAGAATTTTTACAAATACAAGGAGAGATTTATTTAGTGATGTAAAATGAGTTTTTCTTGCAATTCTTTGGAAAACAAATAAGATTTTGGCACTCTTTTCCAGTTTCCTTTGTGCTTTCTTAGCATAATGTGTAGTGAGGGACTGAGGGTGTTCGTCTTGACAAATTGTCATCTTTGTCTTTATATTTAGTTAGTTATTACTGTGTAAACGTATCAAAAATTTCAATCTCTGTTATTGTGCGAGCTGTGGTGTGCAACGGTGTTTTTTCATAGATGGTTTTGTTTTGGTGTTGGATCAATTTTTTTTTGGAGTCCCACTTGCTGCTTTCGATTTGTGATATATTTTTTTTTTCTGGATCATATGAAATGAGCCACTAAGGATTACTGGATATTTTGATCAGAAAAAAGTGAAGAGCCATAATCATAGTTTTGTGATGATTACCTACAGAATTAGTGAATTCCAATTCCAATCAAAAATTAGGGTAATTGATCTGCTTATCTCCTTTCCTCGCTATCCTCTTATGGACCAAGTTATACATGTGTATGCACACTCAAATCCCACATTTTCATAAGAATCGGGTATTTTGCCTGCTGGTGCATGAAGCATAGGTTCGCAAACGTGTGTAATTATAAGTCTCAAATTGTGGTAAAATTAGGTTCTCAGACGTAGAATTTGTTATATACACCCGGGTGTTGCGTACACCCGGGTGATTTACTCATTGATTTTTTTGCTCATTTAATAAATGAACAAATTCAAAACAGACTCTCTCGTAGATGTGTGCAATTATAAGTCTCAATTTGTGGTAAATCATCCATTATACAATGTAAGCTTTTTAAATACATAAAAAAAAAGCCTATTGTTAGACGATCTAATTTTTTTGGGAAATTCTCACCGGTAACACTCAACTTCTGTTTTTTCTCAATGGTAGAATGCTAAATTTTGTATTATCATTGGTAATCACTAATTAGTAGTACTAATTTACTGGTAACATTAATGAAACTTTTACCTAATTATCGACTAACCATGGTTTAATAACAAAATTACAAACCTATCCTTCTAAAAAATCCCTTCCCTCAACCCCCAATTCTATTCGTATTCCCTGCTCTTCTTCTTCTCAATTTCTCTGAATAATTCAATGGCTAAACAAATGCGAAATTATCTGTATTTTATCAATCGTGGGTAATTCAAGGTTCAATCATGCGAAATGGCCTGGAATGACAGCGAAAGTATCCAATCCAATAAATTGATCATCTTGATTTAGTCGGTAGATTGAGTTACCAATTCCCCGTACAAAGTATTTTGTTTATCGTAAAGATCTTTCCTCTCAAATCCCATGAACTCAATAAGTTATTAACTCACTTATTATCAACATAGTAACTGAACTTCATTAAAAGATAATGACTTTATAAGTGATCGTGTATTTGTGTGAGATACGTGGTTAGTAATCAATTATCATTGGAAAAGGTAAAACAAAGGTAAATCAATTATCATTGAAACCAATAACAACAAAAATTGCATGACAATTAAACAAACACCAGCACAATTACTGTAATCATATATTCGTATGAATTTATCTTATTTAACTTGCCTTATTTTGACCAAAAAAAATCATCAGTTTCAATTAAATAGTACGGAGCACATGTCTATATGAGCTTATCATGATCATGTTATTACTTGTGTGTTATTGTGGTTGAATGTGGTTGCTCTGGGAAAGGATTCACTCAGCTTTTACAATAGATATTTAGCGACAGTTGTTATATCATGATCATGTTATTTTTGAGTTCAAGGAATGTACATGTCTTTATGAGCATAACACTAGAACATAATTATCACTCAGCTTTTATAACAAATATTCAATAATATTCTACTTTTGCCCAAATTTTCGAAATAACATAGCATAATAAAAATCAACACAAATAAAGACTTACATGGCTTCGAATCACCAGAAATAGGGGCAATTAAGTCATTTTGCAGCTTATTTCCCACTTAAATTGGTAACCATGGTTAAGGACTTAGGTAAAAGTTTCATTAATGTTACCAGTAAATTAGTATTACTAATTAGTGATTACCAATGATAATCTAAAATTTAGCATTCTACCATTGAGAAAAAACAAAAGTTGAGTGTTACCAGTGAGAATTTCCCTTCTTTTAAATTTTTTTTTTGATAGGTTTTGGACAGCCTAATTGAAAATTTTGGACAAAACAATTACTAAATATAGAGTAAATTTAAGCTTCATTATTTAGGAAGAATTCGCCTTATTTATTATTTTTAAATTAAATTGAAGTGTTATAAAAATTAAGGGAGGAAATGGTAATTTGGCTCTAATGAAATACTCCTAGTAATATGGAAACATAAAAAGTTAAAAATTATTTACTTGATTTAAATTTTTTTATTTCAAAAAAAAAAAATGATTTAAATTTTTTTATTTCAAAAAAAAAAAAAATGATTTAAATATTTTTTTGGAAATTTACATTTTAAATTTATCAAGTTGATAAACTTTATTTTCTTTTCCAAAAAAAAAAAAATGATGTACTTTATTTCTAAAAAAAAAAAATTCCTTTTTAAATAATTATCATCTTCACGAAATTTTGATTAGGGTTAAACACTTAAACGTGCTCTCCTCCAACAATATAATCCCTTAAATAAAATCAAAACAACACCCTCATTCCGGCCGAAATATTCATTTTCCCTCAACATTATTTGAGAATGAGGGAAGAGAGAAAAACAAAAATACCCTAAAAATTGAAGCTTTAACTTTCTCTCTCCTCCCTCCGTTAATTTTTTTTTTTTTAATTTTGTTTTTTGTTTTTTTTGTCAATTTTTACTACTTACTCCATTACTACAGTTAGGTCAGCAACCATTAATTTCGACTTTTATGGCGGCTTTCTAAAATCCCCAAATTTCCCTCCATTTTCAAAATCCCTAAAAATATCAACATCAACTCCCTCCTTTTTACATTTTTCCCGCTCAATTTTCACTCAAACATCAACTTTTCGTTCCCTTAATTTCATTCTTCCCTCCTTATTTTCAAAGCCCTAGATTGTTTCATCAATTTTCTCTCTCTGGTGTATGGAGGAAAAAACCCAGGAAATCAAAATCAAAACTCAAACCCTAGAATTTTCTCAATTTGAGGGTATTTCACTCAAGGAAGAAAACCCAGTTTCGGAAACCATGGAAATCGGGATCCTACCTTCAGATATCCCTATTTCTGATAAATTTCTTGGTGGGTCTTCAAACATTGAAGGCCTTCAATCGGAGGAAATTCCCAGAAAAGAAGAATTTCCAGTTTCGGAAACCATGGAAATCGAAAACCCTTGTTCGGATTCACCTGAATCTGATCAAACCCTAGCTGGGTCTGCAAAAATCGAAGTAAACGGTGAAAAGATTGATGGTGTTCAGAGTAGTAAAACCCTAACAGAGATTAGCTCAGAAGGGGATAAAGAATTCGAAGATGGCATGTTCTTCGAAACCCCAGATGTTAAAGAAGGGGGTGATAAATTGGAAGATGCCCAGATTTCTGAAGCCCTAGATGAATCAATTAAAGAAGGGGGTAAAGACATAGACGATGCCGAGTTCACCAAAATCGTTAGTGAATTGCAAGAAAATGAGGTTTTAGAGAATTTAGATCAAATGATAGATTTTGGTGATAATGGTGAAGAAGAAGATTCACCAGATAGGAAGGGTTTGGGATACTATCCTCTTTTTGGGTCATATCATCAAAATTCTAGACCAAATGGTCCTTGGACTGAATTTGGCTCACCGAATCAGTGTATGTGTACTCGCTGTATCGAGGACGAGGATGAGGAGGATGCTGAAGATCCGTATTCGAGCAATCATGCCATGATTGGGCCGATGCGTAGACCGTATTACGGTTCTAATGCGAGGCATATGGGTATGATGCATAGAGATCATAATCATAGGAGGCATTGCAGGAGGAGGAATCATCGTTTCTGTGCAAGGCATAGAGAAGCTGAGATGTATGGTTCTCGCTACCCGTATTGTAATGTGAGAAGAGGTAGTGAAAGGTTGCGGCTTATGGAGTATTCTGAACCCGAGCCGTGTCATGTGGTATGATCTGCTTCTTACCTTTATAAGAGCTTATTGTCTTTATTGATTTGTATATGAATTACTGACATTGCAGTATATTATGGAGATCAGATTGAAAAGAAGTTGAACTTGTGAATAGATGATTTCGAAATTGAGTTTGAGTGATGATTTATTGATCATCCCTTTGTTGCTTTGTTTTTGTTGCAGGGGGCGGGTCTAGCTAACCTTGGAAATACATGTTTTTTGAATGCAATTATGCAGTGTTTCACTCATACTGTTTCTCTTGTTCAAGGGCTTCTGTCACTCAAACACGCGCCATCAAGTCATGGTGAGGCTTAGTTTGGTTGTCATTGAAGTGTAGATGGTGTCATTTTTCTCTTTTGTTTGAACTTGAAGGAATAATTAGAAGTCTGACTTGGTGTTCCTATTGATTTTGTTACTGATGTTTATTGTTTAATCTCTCTGGTGTTTGGAATGTAATTTTGCAGGTACAGATGAATTTTGTGTGCTATGTGCTGTGCGTGACCAGGTTGAGTTTTCACTGGGGTATTCAGGGCGGGTGATATCTCCGACATACCTTGTGGATAATTTGAGCAGTATCCTTCATGATATAGTACTTGATTTGTATTTGTTGTAGTTTTGACCTTTTTTTTTGTGTGTGATTAAATTGTATTTTTTTCTTCTAAGCTAATGAGATATATTGGAACAGAGCTATGCCTTAGTAAACAACATTTTTTCTTTTTAGGGGGGATAGTTTGAAGGAAAAAGAATTAACAGCTATATTCTCACTGTGCTGTAAGAAATTGTGGCCACAATGGCACATCTTAAATTATGAAACCATGTTCAATATTTTGTTATCTTTGACCTCAATATTGTAGAAATTTCCTCTTTTTTCCAGAGATACCAACAAGAAGATGCTCATGAATTTTTACAGTGTTTATTGGATAAGCTTGACAGTAATTGGTCAGAGTATGAGGAAAGTGCTATTAATATATCAGCACCTGGCTCTTCTCCATCATCATCATTTGATGATACATTAGTGAGGCAGATTTTTGGTGGTCGTCTTGTTAGCCAGGTAGATATTGAATTTAATCTCCATGGAAATTTGTAGAATTGTAGCCATTTAACTTCCTGCTTGAGTGACTGAACTACATATTTTTGTCTTATTTTAGATTCGCTGTTGCAATTGTGGTCACAATTCTGATACTTATGAACCTCTAATCGACCTGAGTTTGGAGATTGAGGATGTTGATAGCCTGGAAAGTGCTTTAAATTCCTTTACAAAGGTAGAGAGTATTGAAGACACAGAAAATTTTACATGTGATGGTTGCAAGGAACAGGTGAAAGTAGAGAAGCAGCTAATATTGGATCAGGCTCCTTCTGTTGCTGCCCTCCATTTGAAGAGGTTTAAGAGTGATGGTGTCATGGTTGAAAAAATTGATAAGAAGGTCGCCTTCCCGCTGGAGTTAGACTTGGGCCCCTACACCAAAGGCTCACATAGTGAGAATGTATGTTTCTATAGATCTTTTGCGTCCAGTTTTCAATTAAATGCATAATCATCTTTCTTTCTTTTTTTTTTTTCCTTTTCAGCACTTCATTCAATAGTTGTGAACATTGTAGTGATCATACATATGGCCCTACCATTTTGTCATTCTTCGCACAGAGAGATCCCCCTCCCGCAATCAATAGTTTTGGAAAACATCTGCTGTTAAATAGTTGTACATTAATTCTATGAAGTTTCTAGAATCCAAACCTGCTGGTTTTGTGGAGTGATAACTCTAGACTTAATTGGCGAGCCAAGAATTCTAAGTTTGGTCAACTAGCATCTTCATGGCATGAATCCTCTTGCCATATCAATGAGTTGATTATCATGTAAAATTGTTTGACTGAAATTATTAAATTTTTTATGTTTTTTTTGAAATAATTCTATAAAGATTTAAGGTATAAAGGTCATTGCTTTTGTGCAGTGAATTGTGCAGGAAGAAAAAGGAGAAATTGCTAATGCTTTGTGTTTCTGACTAGTATGAGTACTTAAATTTTGGTCCTGGAAGGCTGGAACTGGATGACTACTTGCATATACTTCATTCCTTATTGAGGTTTTTTTGTTTAATTTGATCTGCCCAATCGGCATCCCAAACTCATCCTAAAAGGCTTCTCTGCTTAGCTGTTCATTTAGCTATCTAATCTGGTTTTAATTGTATTTTTTGCTTTTCTATGTAGGATGATTTGAAATACGAACTATTTGCAGTTGTTGTGCATGTTGGCTTTTCATCCACTTCAGGGCACTATTTCTGCTTCATACGTACTGATCCAGAGAAATGGCATCGATTTGATGACTCAAAGGTATTTTTGATATGAACACACCATGTGATTTTGGTTTCTGATTGTTCTGCTTTTGAGAAATTATACAGATTATTGGTCATTGATACTGAATTTATAATCCTTAGGTCACTATGGTTTCTGAAGAAATTGTGCTTTGTCAAGATGCTTACATTCTTTTTTATGCGAGAAAAGGCACTCCATGGTTTGGTAGCTTGATTGATAAATGGAAAGTTGAGTGTCATCAGAAGATCTCCAGCACTTCTCCAAAGTCTGTTTTGGATGACATGAACCTTCCATCTACTTCATATTCTGTTGGGAGTGGTCTTCATGGTGTTGAAGTTGGTGGAAATGGGGATACTATTGGAGACACTTCTACAGTGCCTACAACTTCTACTAGTGAGCAGCTTGGAAAGGATAACTTTGAAACTAAAGCTGGTGCTGCAATAAGACCTCATGGCTGTGACACTTGTGAAGCTGATGGAAAGAGGGATGTTACTGGGGATGCTTCAGTCACACCTGCAACTGAGTTAATGCAAGATGAGGTCAACACGAATGCTATTGATGCCCAGGATTCTCTAGTACCAAATCAAATTTCTGCTTCCTCTTGGAGCGTGCCAAATAATGTTGAGGTTAAGGATGATAAATTTGAACTTGATGTCCTGTCCTTGATGGACGAAGATGATGTGACTGAAGACAAGACACCCTGTAAGAAAGTTGGAGAAATCGAACAGACTTCACATTTAGAGAACATGTCTGGTGTTAAGCCAAACGATGATATCGGCATCAAACCTTGTACTCCTGCAAGAGCTCCTAGCCCGGATATATACTCTGATGAGGAGCCTCCAGGTAAATATCATTTAACTGATGAGTAGCCTTAATCTCTTTTAACATTCCTGAATCCTGATGGGTTGTAAAATTAACTGTACATGCATTAAATTGAAACTTGCAGAAGAGGCCTTCCGTATCCCACTCGATCATCTCAAAATAGAAGACAAGTCGTCATCAGCTAAGAAGTTGATCAATAAAGAGAAACAGGATATGAAAAGGAAGGAGGCGATGAAATGTGTAAGGTCAATGCCCTCAGGTAGGCGCCAGTTGTTGTTGGCTGCTATAAATGGCCCGCAAACTGATAGTTCATTGTTCAAGAGAAAAAAAAGACTACAGTCTCCCAAGAAAAGGGTAAAAGTCAGTCCAAAACGTGTCTTGCGGCCTGTTACAGTTTAGCACAATTTAAGGTTCTCAAGTGGTTAATGTAAATTGGTCATTTTGCTCAACTAACGAAATTCCACTTCTCGTGGGCTAGCCTTTCTGATTGTCGATATTTTGTTAGAGATCTGGGTTTATTTACACCTAGGTGTCTCAACGGATTTTTCTGTATATGGCGCTACCCTTATATGGCATCTTTTATTTTCAAGTATTTTTTTTTTGTCTGCAGTCTTGAGTGTTTTGAAGTACGTAGTATATTTTTGCTGTCTGCAATCTTAATTTTTTATGTGTATATTTGCTGCCTACAACGTACCATTTTGGTCTTTTAGGTGTGAAAGAGATGATGATACAAATTGAAGACGTTGAGAACTTGAGATATTGTTTCACAAATAATCACAATCAAATGGAAAATCATATACGAAGTACTGTATTTCGTATTACAACTTTCATGCATTTTATCAGGCTTAAATTCTTTAATGTTGTACAGCTTGTTTCCGAAATTAAAATTTATTATGGTCAGAAGCGCATGTAGCTTAGAAGGCCATGTTTTAATCTATAAGCCAACTTAGATGAGCTACCAGCATATCCTTAGGGCATGTATTAATAACCACCCCCTTCGCCACCAACAGCTCCATAGCCACCAGCATGGGCTCCACCAGCAGCATAACCACCTCCACTACCAGTTCCGCCACCTCCACCACCACCATATTGTCCTCCTTTACCGCTAGAGCCTTCTCCGTATCCACCACCAGCTCCACCACCACGACCATATCCACCACCTCCACCACCGACATAAGTCTCACCGCCGCCACTTCCACTTCCTGCACCACCTCCGCCAGCATAGCCCCCTGCCCTACCAGAAGCAAACCCACCTCCTTGACCCCCGCCTTCACCACCCCCATATCCTCCAGCATGCTCCCCTCCAGAAGCACTAGCACCACCACCACCGCTACCACTACCACCACCTCCCCCATAGGCAGCACCACCTGATGCTGCAGCGCCACCATGGCCTCCACCATCACCGCCACCATAACCACCGGCATGCTCCCCTCCAGAAGCACTAGCATCACCACCACCGCTACCACTACCACCGCCTCCCCCATAGGCAGCACCACCTGCTGCTGCAGAACCACCATGGCCTCCACCATCACCGCCACCATAACCACCAGCATGCTCCCCTCCAGAAGCACTAGCACCACCACCACCGCTACCACTACCACCGCCTCCTCCATAAGCAGTGCCACCTCCTGCTGCAGCACCACCATGGCCTCCACCATCACCGCCACCATAACCACCAGCATGCTCCCCTCCGGCACCGTATGCTGCACCTCCACCACTACCACCTCCTCCGCCACCACCATAAACAGCACCACCACCAGAAGCACCACCTCCTTCACCACCACCGTCTCCATATCCACTTGCATGGGAACCACCTCCACCATAAACCATCCCACCACCAGCCCCACTTCCACTACCTCCACCACCAGCATATCCACCTACTTCAACACCGCCACCAACATGTCCACCAAGCTCATAATTGAGGAGAGTTCTAGTGGCAGAGCAAATGCCTAAGCCTAACACCAAGAATAAAACAGAATAAGAGATTTTATGGGAAACCATTTTGAGAATGTGATGGTTTTAAGTAATGCTGAAGAAGATGTATTTATAGGGATGACATTACAATCACAAATGGCGCGCAACTTCCACTGCAACAGTGGTTGAAGCAGCTAGCACATGACAAAAGCCTAAGGATTTGTAATTGTTCGTTCGTTCCCACCTTCCACTATAACTAAAGCAGAAGCCTCAACTCTCAAGTTAATTATTGTATGTAATTCATCATCATCATCAAGATCAGATTACTAGTAGTTTCTCTGGTGTGCTCCGCTACTGTCTCCCACATTTGAATAAAATTCTTTTTATAAATCTGTATAGTTATAATATATAGTTTTTCTCTTGTATTAGTTGTATATTATAGCACTTTCTTTATAATTATGGGCATTAAGCACTGATATTTGTTACTTTCCCCATCACTTATATTAATCAGAAGATATCTAATCCTGACCAGATATTTAGTGTTAGTAGTGTCTTGTTTTCCTTATTTTACAATTGAATAATCTTGTTAATCACACTTTTATCCAATTTCTCATACTGTCATGCAACATAAAGCATAATTATGCTTATATAAATGTTAGGATTTGCTTGAAGACAAAAGGATTTTTTGCAGTTTATTATAACCAACTTGGCTAATTAAGTACTCACCAAATGAAAAGGCAACTTATTAAAGATACAAGTGAGGATAATTCAGTATATCAAATTTTGAGTATTGCATCTACTTGCACTTAGAGCAGCTTGTAGATTATTTTTCTTATTCCACTTGTTAAACGAAAAGCAAATAATTTAGAGTATATGCATACTTAGCAGGTATTGTGATGTTGATCAGCTCGTGTTACATACTAATCAGCTAGACGATAACTTCATTCTGATCTGATTTTCATGACTGGCAGAAAAATTGCTGATTGTTTAGTAACTTTAGTTGCATACATGTTTGATTTATGATTTATATCTCATGAAGAAATGGATTAGTAAATAAAAGAGCTGCAGAACAGGGTTTTGAGATTTTAAAAACTCAATTTACTTAGCTTCCTCGCTTTATCTTGTTAGCTATAAGCCGAAGGAAGATGGTGCAAGTCAAGAATGTGTGATGACTGATGTTTTGTGAACTGTAGCATATACAATGGATACTATACATAGTAGGAGACATCAATTGTGAATTAGTGATGCCTGTGCATGCAATAGTGCTTAATGAATCAACTCCATCAATAATAGAAAAAGATTTTCTTAAGTGGGTTAATTCATGCCTATACATATAGGCCCCGTTTGGTTTAATGTAAAACATTTTCAATGGACAATTAGTTTTCATGGAAAACATATTTTCAAGGAAAAACACAATTGCAAATTAGTTTTCCTTTGTTTGGTTGCATACAAGAAAAGTCCAAGAAAAATAAAAAATAAGAGTGGAAATGTAAGGATAAATGAGAGAGAAGTAAAAAAAAAAAGGTAAGGAGGAAAGATGAAAATGTGGCTTCCCTTGTTTTTGGAAGGAAAATGTTTTCCATCATTAAGGATGGAATTTTCCACCTTTGAAAAATTGTTTTCCACTTCTTAACAAACCAAACAAAGGAAAATGGGAAAAAATGGAAAATTCATTTTCCATGAAAACCTTTTACATCAAACCAAACAGGACCATAGTGAAACTTGGACTTCAAACAGAGGACTCAATTTAAGATCGGGGGCATAGAGTATACTAATCTAACTAGGCACTCAAAATGAAAATGTCACAATTGATTATATTTTTAATTTGCCTATAAAATTCCATTTTTTTTTTTCTTTTCCTTTTCGTCGTGTTTATATGTGCTTCCTTATTTTGGAGTAGAGGGAATTACTAGTTAAAAATGACATTAATATAAACAAGGTATTTGTAATTCTTAAGTATGATCATGTCATGTATATATTAAGGCTATAATCATATTGGCTTCTACCAGCATGTAGCCACAAAGAATGTATTGATTTTCTCGATTGTAATATTAAGAGTACATTGGAATTGAATTGCATTCACTACTTTCATAAAACAACTCTAAAAAATGTAGGAGGTAAATCTTAAGAAGTTTTAATAATCATCAAGTCATCAACATATTAAAAAAAATTGTGAAATTTAAACTTTTACTTGGTATTTATTAAGATGATTAGGCCATTATTTAAGATAATTTATGCGTATTATTTTTTGTTCATTTTTAAAATTACAATTAAAACAAATTTTTCAAAAAGGTCTCATATTCTACTTTGTTGATACACGTTTATATAAGTGAAAACCAAGTGAATAAAACATACCTTGACAATAATTGTTAGCTATAATCCTATGATTCTATCACCCACATTCATTATAAACAATATAGTTGAACTTTAACTCAATCATAGGTTCTTTGAGACATCATTGTAATATTGTGTGATTTTCACTCAATCATAAAATGAAACTTAATCAATTGTATTGAAATTCGTATAAGTTGCATGTTACATATAGAAATCTGGCAATATCCTTCAGGCTCTTACAGTAATTGCCTAATAAATCCGTATTCTTAAACAAAATACTTCGTTCCACATAAATAATAATACTTGATTACATATTCTTGATGAATTAAAATTCTCAATTGTATTGTATGCAGTCAAGGTCTCAAGGATACCCACCATGGGCACCTCCCTCACCACCTCCAGCACCACCACCGTATCCACCTGCATGGGCACCACCAGCATAGGCACCACCTCCTCCTGAGCCGCCTCCGCCACCTGCACCATATGCATGCCCTCCTCCTGCAGCAGCACCACCTGCTCCTCCTCCACTACCATATCCACCACCTACAGCTTCACTACCACCACCATAAGCACCAGCACCGCCACCACCGCTTCCACCGCCACCACCGTATGCACCAGCACCACCTCCACCATAAGCTCCTCCGTGGCCACCACCTTCACCACCTCCATACCCTCCAGCATGCTCTCCTCCTGCAGTTGAAGCACCACCTCCACCAGAACCTCCTCCGGCACCACCAGCATATGCACCGCTACCACCAGAGGCGTAAGCTCCACCATGGCCCTGGCCCCCACCTTGACCTCCACCATAGCTTCCAGCATGTTCTCCTCCCGCACCATAAGCACCACCTCCACCACTTCCACCACCGGCACCACCACCATAAGCACTCCCACCACTTGCACTAGCTCCACCATGGCCTCCGCCTTCTCCACCTCCATAAGCACCTGCATGCCCTCCACCTGCACTATATGCTCCACCTCCACCACTACCACCACCGCCTCCACCAGCATGAGCTCCAGCTCCAGCACCACCATAGGCTACACCGCCTCCTTCACCACCTCCACCACCATACCCACCAGCATGCTCACCACCCGAACCATAAACAACTCCACCACCAGAACCACTACCACCACCACCACCACCGGCATATCCTCCTACATGATCATAGGTGAGGAGAGACCGAGTGGCCGAGGATAACCCTAAACCTAGTAACAAGAAAAAAGTAACATAAGAGATTTTTTGTGAAGCCATTAAAATGTATCTATTGTAGTGTAATGTGTTTTTGTTACTTGAATCCAAAAACCTTATGATATCCCAATGATACAAAACTTGAGGTATATATAGGAATTGGATAGGGAGGTGAGGAAGCGTGTAACTTGCACTTGCACTTGCACTTGCACTTGCACTAGCTAGGACAACTTAAGGGTGGTTGAGGCACATGGATGACAAAAGTCTATAATCCCACTAACTCTTTCCTTTAGCTTGCTTCTACTTTATCAAGATATTAAGATGTACTTCGTATATAGTTAGTAATTTTTGTGTACTTTTGCTGTCTCCAACATTGACTTTATATAATTAGGATGTAATCGATGCACCTTATCATCATATCATGATATTGTATGTTTATTTCTCATTTTAGAAACTCTGTATAAGTTCACATTACTAGCATCATATATTACTAACATGCATCATTTTACATTGAAATACTATTATTACTACTACTAGTTATAGCAAATACGAAGTATAAATTAAAGAGTGGTGCATATAAGTTATAACCATTAGCCGGCATATATAGAGTGTGATGCATATAACTGTAACGCCAATTCTAATGCTTGTATAAGATGAAACAAAGGTGGTAAAATACTACGTACAATATATACGTGCAGTAACATACATGTACACGGTACACCGGCACCGTCGCTGTTTAAGATAATTGTTAAAGACCCACCAAATCTTTGGTTAGGTTTAAAAACAAACTAACCCTTATTACAAGATTTTTTATACCACCGTCTCATGAATTTCATTGATTAAATTATGGTATGCTATTGAATTGAAGCAGGAAGTTCTCTCTCAATAATGTACTGTAAATTGGAACAAGAAAGATGGCCTGGATATATATACTTCGTATTGACATGTGTTCACCAAGATTCTTATTGTCTCACTGATTTTTCTATTTAGCTACAGTAATCGTGATTATCAAAACTATTATTACTCTAGCCTTTAGACACTTAATTATTTTTTTAATAAATAATTAGAAAATTCACCTATCATTGTTACTTTGTAATTGATTATGAAATAAATACTCGTTCATTGAGTCTATATTAAACGTCGTCAAAATAATTATATCCTAATGTAAATGAGAATAACTGAAATATATAGTTCGTGAAAATAATAATTTAATAGTGCGTATGAAGTATATGATTATCTTACGTTTCACATTTGTCCTGTGAGACAACCCATGCCATATAATTAGTTATCTGATCAAAATTAAAAGCCACTATATATTATAAACACTACATCATGAAAGAATAATTTCAGTGGACGAGGGCAAACTATACAGTATACAATATATAACAAGAAAACAAACGTATGAATAATATTATGATTGGAGTTGCTGCATGCATGCCTCCACTATTGACTTCAAGTTAGCAATAATGCTCTCTAGACTAGAACGAGCATAGCAAACTAAAGCTCCAAATTCTCTTCCTCCAGCTAACGTTGCACTGATTATATATCTTCCTCTATAATTTAACTTTACATTGTAAAGCTGATGCTGCAATAATTTTCTTTTATGATCATCCGCAAGGACGAGTTAGGTCGTTCTTTTGCTAAGAAATTATATTATATTAAATTAAATTGACTGAGTAATCTGGAATTGACCGAATAACCTCTTATTAATAAAGTACGTAGACCCTGCTCAATCGAATACTCATCAATAAATCCTGACTAATTTAAGTAGCCCTTGACTGACCGAGTAACCCCTGACCAAGTAGCCCATAATCTGATTGACCGAGTATGTAACCTCATAATAAGTAACTCCGACTACACGGTGTGGCAAGTCACATATGAAACTTTGTATATAATGGGCTAGTGGAGTATTGAAGTTGTATATTTTATGGTAATGAAGTATGATTTTGCCTTGAATTTGTATATTTTAATTTGATTGCTAATTAAGCTCATTATGAGTGATTTAGCTATATTTTTATTATCAAGTTTATGTGTGTATAATTAACTTGGATATTTTTTACAACATTGATTTGTGACTTTATTGAATATTCAAGCATTAACTATTTATTGGTATACGGTTTACGAGTGACGGTGACACAACACCTATAAAATCTTGATCCATCACAGTTTGTATGACACTTCTAATTTCACATATACTACGTGTATATATATATACACTTGTCAATACATTATTTTTTTTTTATTTTCATATATATATATATATATATATATATAACTTTATACTAAAGGCGAAACCAGGAATGACACATGTCATCTCCTGGTTAAAAATTTTCCCTCCAAAAGGTTTTTTTTTTTTTTTTTTTGCCAAAGCTTCTTAGAGTAGTTTTTAATACAAACAATGCAATAATATTTCATTTCCTATTTGATAAGTATATTCTATTTGTACACATTTAAACAAAGATATTATTTTTTTAATACAATAATCTATCTATAACTTTATACTAAAGGCGAAACCAGGAATGACACATGTCATCTCCTGGTTAAAAATTTTCCCTCCAAAAGGTTTTTTTTTTATTTCTTTTGCCAAAGCTTCTTAGAGAAGTTTTTAATACAAACAATGCAATAATATTTCATTTCCTATTTGATAAGTATATTCTATTTGCACACATTTAAACAAAGATATTATTTTTTTTATACAATAATTTGCAATAATAGTTTATAACTTTGTAATGTAATTTATAGTTATTTTTATTAGTCGTGCATATATTATTGTCTCTGTTTTCTTTAGTGTGATAAATTTTTAATTTTTTTTTTGTAATTACAGAACTTTCATCCTATTTTGCAATTAGGTATAATTTTTTATAATTAAATAATAGTGTTAAACTAATGATAGGTATTAAGTATTAAAAATTACCGTGCATGGCACGTGACTTAACCTAGTGTGTGTATATATATATATATCCAATGAGAAGGATGAAATGTGCATTTATTTTGAACTAAATGTGCATATATTTTCTACTAAATGTGCATATTTGATTTTGGACCTGATACTTTTTTTTTGCAAATTCTGGAAAAACGAGAACTTATGCACATTATGTGCAAAAAATATGCACATTCAATTTCGGTCGAATTTTTTTTGGCACATTTTATTCAAAAAATATGCACATTTAGTGAAAATTTTATGCACATAAAATCCTTTTCATCCTTCTCAATTTAAGAACCTTCTCATTTGATCCCAAATCTATCTATCTATCTATCTATATATATATATATATATATATATATATATATATATATATATATATATATATATATATATATATATATATATATATATATATATATATATATATATATATATATATCGGAAAAATTAGAAATAATAATCCCAACTTTCATCCATTTTGCTACAATAATCCCAACTTTGGACTATTCTAGAATAATCCGAACTTTAGGGGGTATTTTTTTTTCTTCAATCCTATACCGGTTAACAAAATTAAATGACCTATTATATCAGGTCACTTGACACGTGTCAAGCCCTAATTGGTCCAAAAAAAATAAAAAAAAACCCCAAAACTAACCAACCACCAGTCAGCCTCCCCTTCCCCCACCAGCCACCCTAACCACCACCTCACGGCCAACCTGCCGCCCCTTTGTCGCCGACCAGCCGCGTGAAACAACCTTCACCACGTCGTCGTCTTCCTCCTTCCCCGAAACAACCCACATTCCCCACGAAACCACCTCCCCGAAACCCGAAACCCCAAATCCACCAACGAAACCCTAAATCCACCAACGAATCCTCTCCCACCCCCAAAAACCCCCAATCGTTCCTCCCACCACCCCGAAACCCTAAGCGGCTTGGTTTTCGACGGTGGGGAGGAGTTTTTGGGGGTTTTCGAGAGTGGGAGACTGGATTTAAGCGGCAATTTCGAGTGGAGGAGATTGGGGGAAAAGGAGAAACGACGAGTGGGAAGGGGGAAACCGGCGCAAGGGGAGGGGAAAGAGGAAATCGACGCAGTGGGAGGGAATTAGCGCCGCCGTTTAGGGTTAAACTGGTGGTTTTGGGGGTTGGCTGGTGGTTTTTGAGGTTGGCTGGTGGCTGAGATTTTGGGGGTTGGTTATTTTTTTTATTTTTTATTTTTAGAAATTGTTTAGCCAATTCAGTAGTGACACGTGTCACTTTTAAAAGTAAAAAAAAAAAACCATTCAACCGGTTACCGGTTTTTGGGATTGAAGAAAAAAAAAATACCCCCTAAAGTTCGGATTATTCCAGAATAATCCAAAGTTGGGATTATTATTTCTAATTTTTCATATATATATATATATGTATATGTATATATATACATATACATATATATATATATATACATATATATATATATATATACATATATATATATATATATATATATATATATATATACATATATATATATATATATGTATACACTAAATTCTCAAGTGTAAATCATCAAAGCTAGTTAAACAAATAATAATAATAATAATAATAATAATAATAATAATAATAATAAATATTTTTTTTAAAAAGAAGCATATGAAGTACATAAGTCAAAATATTAAATTAAAAATAAACAAAGAAGTACTGTATAAGTTATTTATTCAGTATATATAGAGCTCTCAATTCGGGTAAAACGGGTCGGGTAAGAGTGGATCGGGTCAATTCAGATTAATTCAATAACCTATGCGAGTCGGGTTTGGGTTGGGTCATGCTTGAGTCGGGTCACGTCGGGTCATACTTCTTATCGGGTTAGGGTCTGGTGAACAATAGGTTGGGTTAATTCGGGTTTTCACGGGTTAGGGTAATTCTTGGGTTTGAGTCGGGCTCGGTTCAAGTCAATAATTTGTGGGTTAATCAGGTCGGGTCATTCTTGAGTTTGATTCGGGTTCGGTTCAAGTCAATAATTTGCGGATTATAATCAGGTCGGGCCATTTCCAAGTCGGTTCATTCTCGGGTTCAAGCCGGGTTCAGTTCAAGTCAATAATTTGCGGGTTATAATCAGGTTAGGTCATTTTCAAGTCGGATCATTCTCGAATTCAAGTCAGGTTATGTTCAAGTTAATAATTTGCATGTTACAATCAGGTCGGGTCATTTCCAAGTCAGTTCATATTCTGGTTCAACTAATTA